CCAGAGCTTCGTAGGGTCATCAATGTCCGAAGTTTGAGACCGTCGTCAGTGTCTGAGGACATGAGGGTAATGATACTAACCCTGTGGAGGGTGCGCCCGTAGCCAATTCATGGGGAGATAAGTGGGTGTCATACAAAGTAGAGTGGTTATGCACCATGATGGCTACTAGTGCAGCAGCCCACCAGGGAGTAGTGTACCCTCGTCTATCTGCTTGGGCAGTGTGGATAGAGGATTTGACATCACGAATGAGCCGTTCAATCATCCCCTGACTCTGGGGCCTTCTCGGTACTCCCGGTCTCAAAGAGATGCCCATCATCCTGAGGAACATTGCAAGCTCTTGTGACTGGTGAGCCCCGGCCATATCCATCTGGAGGACTGAAGGGACTCCATAGCAAGCACACCACTGGAGTAACGCCTGAATCACGTCCCTTGTGCTTGTGGAGAACGATGGCACAGCAAGCGCGACACGAGTCCCCTCATCCATCAGAACACATAGGTACTGCCATCCTCCAGGGCTCAACTCGGGAGGTCCCCCCAACTTGACATCATTCGGTTTGGTCAGAAAGTCGATCTGGACATTGGTGAACCTGCCCGAGTTCCTCTTGCGTACCAGTGGTTGAGCAGGTTCCTTTGCGAAGGGTTTGCCCATCTGGCATTCATGACAGGCAGATACACCCCTGCGAACATCAGCCACCATTGTGTCCCAGACATATCCTGCCTTCCATAATGCTTCCCAGGCTCGGGGAGCACCCTGGTGGGCAGCTAGCAACGGATGGGAATGGCTACGGTACAGCGCCCATTCCCGCGCCCTCGTTGTGTTCAGATAAACCTTCCAGCCCTCGTGAATGCTGGGATCCTGGTGTTCTAAAACACCACCCACCTCGCTCAGCCGAAAGTAAGGACCATGCGCACCTCCTCTGGCCAAAGCATAGGCACTCTCATTCTGCGGCTTCTTGGCAAGCCTTTCTTGGAGTGCAAGGACGAGGTCTCCGAGTCGAATGCCACAAACCTCGTGAGTTTCACAAAACTCTCGGTCCTTCAAGGCATTACTCTCCAGTTCTAAGATATCCTTTGGTTCCATATTGGCCAAATCTGTGGTGTCATCGAACTGGACCCGTCGTCCCCCCTGCTCAGATCCTCCTGACCTCGTTACAAAGGAAACTCCTACAGTCGGAGGATCAACCATAGTCATGGGTCGATCAAGCTCTGCATCCGGCTCAGTAGGCATTGGGTCACTTGCAGAGGTAGTTGAGCAGGGACGATATGCATGATGAGTGCCATGGCCAAACCTCTCGATGCAGAGCTGTTCATCAAGCGCACACAATACTACCGCAGCCTGCCCTGAGCATCTAGCTGAATGCCCCTTTTCCTGCTCATCTCCCCCCAAAGGAGGCAAGTCAGGCAGGATGGCAGGCAGGCGGGATAGATGGTCCGCAAAAAGGTTACGAAGACCCTTTATATGCCGTATCTCCAAGGAGATGTTACAGTCAACTTGGAGATGATGCCGGTGCTGGTTGAGGGCATCTGTAGCTCTTGCAATGGCAGCCTGGTCGTAGATACTCCCGTTGAGTTTATCAGTCTGGGACCATGCCACTGCACTCGAGTTATCACAGAAAATGACAACCTGACGTATTTGCTGACGGGAAGCAGGGAACCATCCGACCCATTTGACCAGTAGATTAAGGCACTTCAGGACAGCGAGGTATTCTTTTCGATTGATATGCGCCTTTTGAAGTGCGAGATCATAAGCACAAGCATGCCCTTCCAGCAGTAGTTTGTCATCTGTAGACAGATCGCTCCATCCCGAGCAGCTCGTGGAAGAAGTCGAGTGGAGAACGATCCCATAACCATTCGAGGATGAATCACAGTGTCCAATCAGAGAGTCATGATGAGGTGGGACAGAAGAATGGTGACAACGCCCGAAATCGTCCGAGAGTGCCATATCTAGGGCTTGCTGCAATTTACGTTTTGTTGAGGGCGTGATCGTCCATTTGTGATCCCATGTTTGGCGAGACTGAGGGTTTGCACCCACCGTTGGCGATTTACCTGCCCATCGGCGTAGGTGGTCACCAACTGCTCGGCTGCATGGGTGACACTGAACTCCATCATAATGGGCACCAGCTAGACTAAACACCTGCCGGCGTGAAATGCTATTGGTGTCAGGTAGTGTAACGCCCCCACTATCCACACATTGAAGAAGCAGCCGACCATCCTCAGCGCGAGACCAGAACACTCCCATATGGCGAACGGGTTCCACAGACTGTTCCTTCTGAGATAGTACAGGGATAGTATCACGCTTCTCCGGCGGGCATGCGGCACCCATTAAGGGGGCTATTTCGACCAGGATATCGCGGAGTGCAACCACTCGGTCTTTCGAGCCAAAGAGAGCTATATCGTCATAGTATGGGAGGGCTGATACACCACCACCAACATCCAGAAACTCCTTAGTGTCTCGTCGGCAGACAGCTCTGCCCAGTAATTCAGCGTAGGCACAGCTCAACAAGAGAGTCACCTGGGCAGCAAGCGCCGCTGGGCCGCAGCGAATTCCGAAGACCACTCGGTTACAATGGAAGCTGCGACCCGCGGTCTTAATTCGCACACAGCGACGGCCCGCCAGCCTTAACTTATAAAAGGCCTTCTGGAGGTCAAGCAGCTCCAAGTGGTCCCCTGGCTGGACCCGGGCACGGAGTGTACCCAGTACTTCGGGAACACTGTGGCCACTATAGCTCGCCGCTGGTAGACATAAATTTGGACCTCGCATATCACTGCATAACCTTACTCGAGTACTCTTGTGTGTACCCTGGGATAATGGGAAAGTGCAGCATGGTAGGTCAAGCGGCGTTTCGTCAGCTGAGGGTTCCCCTTCCAGCCACCACCGTCGATTGATCATGCCGTTCAGCTCCTCTGTGTAGCTACTAGTCTCTTCCGCCGAAAGACGATTGAGCATAGGTACGCTGTAATCGATGTTAGCCCTCCGCGAAAAGCGTTGGTACTCATTCAACCGTTTGCCTTCCAGTCGAACGTCGTCCCAATCGATCTCAAACACATAGATCTGTTTGGGGTCATCTTTATGTTCTCCCTCACGGAGGCGCCGTAAGCGCGAACGATACTTTGGTGCACCAGGTAAGGGGATCCAAACATCTAGACAGTCCGCCAAGGCTTTCTGGGCTCGAGTAACCGGATCAGTGGGCTCTTCTTGAGGGGCATGGTCGATAATTTGGTACCCGAGGGATGGGAGGTCCGCTTTTCTCACCAACAGATCTATCCCAGGTAGGGAGTCTACCACCAATAGTTGTAGTTGGACTTGGAAGCCAGGACGTTTTACGGTTAGAGTGACCCATTCTTGTGCCTCCCTAGCCCCACCGGCCGTTTGAAGCTTAACACATTCTCCTGAGGTAGGAGTGACTTTAAGCATAGATACTAACCCCCTGGAAACGAGATTCTGGGAACACATGGTATCAAAGCCAGCCCGTGCATGGGTAACATTAGTTGTTCCCGGGTCATTGTTAGTAGGTGATACTTCAACCATCCCCGCCAAAACTTCGGCCTTACCCAGGGTTAGTAGGGCCGTCTCAGTACGCTCACCCTTGGAATCGTCAGTTGGACGGTCGTGGACATTGGTCTGCGAGTTCCTCGGACATCTCCGAGCGAAGTGATCTGCTGAGCCGCAGATAGCACACTGGCCCTTCTCTAGCCTCTCTTTCGCGAGTGACTCAGATACTCCATGAGCCTTGGCATGATCAACAGCAGTAACTCTTGTTCTCTTCCTCGGTGGTCCTGTGTTCTCAGATCAAAGAAAGATACTGGTCGCTTTTGCCCACCACCAGTAGTTTTAGTGCCCTAGAGGATAGCATGGCTCGAGGAGTAGACTCTTTCCATGGCTGTCTTTGGCCT